CTCCTGAGATGCCCAGTAGCTACAAGCATGGAGAAACTCACAGTTAGGGCTGGGTCTCTGCTGGGTACGTGTAACTGCAGGTCTGATTCTTGGGAGTTGAGGATCTTGGCACAGTATCTAAATCCCAGAGATTCCTGCAGAGTGCAGCGTTGCCCTAGGACAGTTGTTCTCAACCTTGATGCACACTGAAATCACCTGGGGAACTTTAAAACTGCTGATGTCTGAGTCTCATGCTCAGAAATTCTGATTTACCTGGTCTGGGAGCTGTGCCTTGGATGTTGGGATCTTGAGAAACTCACAGGTGATTCTAACGTGCAGTCATGGAATTATTGTTCCCCAATTTCCTGCACCTAAAGCAAGTTCATAACCTGTATCAGTCAGGGTAGATTAGGTTATGGTATAGTGATAAACAATGCCAGGATCTCTGGGTCTTCATTAACAAAAGCTTATTTCCTGCTTATATGATGTCACCGCAGGTCTAGGGGACTCTTTGGGGCAGCCGTTTTCCCTGTGTTGCTTGGCATTCCATCACCAATGGAGGCAGAGGCAGAGGAGTGTTAAGAATTGAGTTCTAGCTATTGTTTATTTTCACCAGGAAGTAACACACATCCCCTCCATTCACATATCAAGGATCAGAACTAGTTTATGGCCGCAACTAATATCAAGAAGGTGGAGAAGGCAACTGGATATTGGTGAGCATTAGTAATGATCACCACCTAGAGCTTTTACTGTAAATGAAAGCAGAAGGGGATAAAACCATTTTACTTTATAAACACTTATATGGTACTTGTTACATGCTGGATATTATTTTAATGGCTTTCAAATAGGAACTCATTTAACCCTCATAGCAGCCCTATTAAGTAGATCATTTTTACCCCCATTTGACAGAAGGGGAAATCGAGGTTACATGACTTACTCTAGGTCATATAGCTAGCATGAGGCAAGGTTAAATGCCAGACAGTCTGGGTCCAGAGTATAAGCACTGGCCCTCTATATAATATTCAGCTATTCTCCTGTCCATTCTGCTTTTTCTCAACTTAGTTTGGGTAGGTGGTGGGAGAAGAGGAGGAGGAGGGAGGTTATAAGTTCAAGCGTGGGACTTTGTGCATGCAGAGGAACTGAGTAGTAATGTTTGGGTATATCGCTCCTAGAGCTGGGGCAGGGCTCTGAGGGAAACAGAGAGTGACACTTGGGAAATGGGTTTGGGAGCAGGAAATGGTTTGGACTGATACTGCTCGAATGAGACCAACCCTGAAGCCAAGTTGGGGAGCAGCCTCTGGCCCCTTTCTTCTTTTCTCCCATTCTTCCATCTGAGCTCCCCATTCAGCATCCACAGATTGCACCTTAGACCTAGGCCGAAGTTATCTCAGAAACAAAAATTGGAGATAGGGAGAAAAATCATTCCCCTAGAGAGTAGTGGGTAAGCTATTTTCACAGAAGGGGTCCAACATTAAGTCAGACTGGACCTAATTCTAAGCATTTCTGAGAGTTTACATATAATTACACTCCTGTCAAATAAACTACATTTAAAAAATCTTCAAAGAAGGGGTGCTTGATAAAAGAATCCTTCAGTGAACCAGAACTGATTACAAACCACCACTTCCTAATATGTCAGATTTCCAAGTCTTCACTTTTATGTTAGTTGCTGTTAAAATGGAATGCACCTGCAGGTCACCTAACATCCACTCATTTCCGAGCTGTGACTTGGGCATCAGCGAACACTTCTGGGTATTGGAACTCTTGGTTCTCACAGACAACACCACTCTAATGACAATGCCTGAAGAAAGAAGAAAAGGACAAATGATTCTGCTTTAAAATGGAATCCTTGCAATGAAACAAACAAAAAGAAGCCCTTTGTGTGACATTGAAGCTTTTTGATTCCTCTCTCTCTCACCTGTTAAATCCTGCAGTTTGGTTACAACATATGGACTCTGTCTGCAAAACACTTTTAAAATCCTGTATTGGCACCTTGCTGCAATCTGCCAGCACATTCCTCGGGGCTCGTCAGTCCGTATGGCGCCACTCTCTTTTCCTTAACTCTATTTTGATTAGGAGCTAGCTGTTGCAAATTGTTCCCAGGGATTTCTCTTCTCTCCAGTGCTGCAAAATCAGCGATGGCCAGAGAGATCACTGGATGTTGCTGGTGGTTACCAGTATTTAGACAGCATCAGATTATTTTCTATTATTTACAAGGAGCTCTTGCTACAGGGTCAGAAGACTTGATTCTAGGTTCAGCGCAGCCTCTAAGGCACTGTGTCATCTCGGACTAGGCACTTCATGTCTCTGGGTCCTGGTTTCTTCCTCTGGAAAATGAAAATTTAAACTCGAAGATTAAGAAAAGTGTGGAAGCCAGAGGTCTGACATTTTATAACTACCAATTTTTTACAATGATTAAAATAATCCAACAGTTTTTTTTAATCTGTCAGCTCTACCTTTTAAATGTACCTAGAACCTGACCACTTTTTTTTTTTAAGGTTTTATTTATTTTTCGACAGAGAGAGAGAGAGACAGCAAGAGAAGGAATGCAAGCAGGGGGAATGGGAGAAGCAGGGGGAATAGGAGAAGCAGGGGGAATGGGAGAAGCAGGGGGAATGGGAGAAGCAGGGAGAATGGGAGAAGCAGGGGGAATGGGAGAAGCAGGCTTCTCGCCGAGCAGGGAGCCCGATGTGGGGCTCGATCCCAGGACCCTGGGATCATGACCTGAGCGGAAGGCAGACGCTTAACGACTAAGCCACCCAGGCGCCCTAAAATAATCCAAGTTTATAATGCTATACAATTAAGGACAAAGAAGAAAAGATAAATGCCATTTTAATTAAATCTGCAGATGGAAATAAACGGGGAAGTTTTACCAGTAATTGTGTGACTGTGTCTTAATGGAGTCCAAAAGAGTTTCCTCTTTGGGAAGTGTGAGCTAATACACCCACAGAGGAGTGATTAGGAACAGAGATATTTATACTAGATGGGAAATGCTGGGAAACAGAGGTTTTATATCAATACCCAGAGGTGAGATGTGGGCAGCTGATGATGTGCAAAAGAACATATAGATCTGAAGTATTTCCTGTTAATGATGATGATGGATTTATCATGTTAGAAGTCTAGGATAGCAATCTATGAAATAAATATGTTATATATATATATTCCTGTTAATGATGATAATGGATTTATCACGTTAGAAGTCTAGGATAGCAATCTATGAAATATATATATTTTATATGTTTTAAATATATATTTATATATATATTTACCTGTCTGTTACCACTCCAGTCTGTGAATGGCTCATTAGTCTAGGACCATGGTGTGTCCGTACATTAGGTTAGTCCCCATAAACACAGGTTATATAAGACCCATGGGGGAGGGAGGAATCCTTTCGTGCGTTTAAAAACGCCTTTCCGCTTCGCCCCGCCCCTAACCCACACCCAGTCAACTGCAGGGAGGGAGCTGTAACCTCAGCCACATCTCTGACTCCTGTCGGTGGCAGGCGGTTTAGACGGATCCAATGCGTGCCTGAGTCCCTTGTTATTTAACTAAATACACCCCAATGTATTTAGAAGACCTTCTAGCTGTAGGGGAATTAACTTGCACCACCAGCAGTACTTGAGTAGAAAGCTAAAATAGCCTAGTGTTATTCCACGGTCTCTTGATTTTTTTGCCGAAGGAATCCTAGCCCAGCAAACTGCTCTTTGCCTTGCTTCAACCTTCCGGGTTTACTCAGCCGCCCAAGCTCTGGGCAAATAGGTGGAAATTTCAGAGGGGAGAGGGGGAAAATGCCCTAGGCTAAAACCTGGATCCTGTGTCTCTCAGTCACAGGCAATGACCTCTTCTCCCTCCCCCCCAGGTGCTCTGGAGAGAGAGTGATCGAAAGTCGAGGCCAGCGGTTGGTAATCTAGGGGTTTCTAAACAAAGTCAGACACCTTCTCTCTTTCCTTCCTGCCCAAGGCAGGAGCTGAGCAGATGTTTCCTGGGACCCCAGCCTGAGGATTCCTGCCGCTTCGTAGCAATTTAGCCTTGACCATTTCTAACAGGGGTTACCTAGCATATTATGACCCCAGCAAAAGGAGACGCCCCCACACAACTGTCCTTCGCTTCGACTTCTGACCGTGCTGCAGCGTGCGCTTTTTGTCCTTAGTCCTTGAACCTGCTTAGCAGTCATTCTTTTTGGATAGGCCCAGTGGAGCCTCTGAAGGGGAAGCTTTAGATCCGAACTTCTGCAACTTGAGCGAGAATGCATCTTATTTACGTGGAGGGCTTGTTAAAACAGATTATTGGTCCTCGTCCCAAGTGTTCCTAGTTATCTAGCTTTGAGGTAGAGCTCGATATTTTGCATTTCTAACAAGTTCTTAGGAGATGATGCCAGTCCGGGACCGCCTTGAGAACCTCTGCTTTAGATAAAAGAAGGTGCCTCGGCATGAGCTCCCCCTTTTCCTTCCATCCCTCCGAGCTACATTCGCAATTATGCTATTTCCCCTTCTCCGGGTAGTTTCCTGCTTTTGGACTAAGTATTCTAAAGGTTCCACTTCTGTCCCTGGTTCTGAGCGGATGGAGGGTTCTTAGAGAAGATTCCTGCCGCCTCCCCGCTCCCCCGCCCCCCCCCCCCCCCCGTGCTGCTTCGTTCCCACCACCTTTACTGTTTTTCCACCACAAATGCTGCCCGCTGCACTCCTCTCTCTGGTGTGAATTATTCATCCTCTTCCCCTACTCCTTGCATTAAGTGCAACCTTTCCCGCAACTTAACCCGGGTAGCGGGGCTCGCCTCCCGCGCTCCGCGGCCCTGGGGAGGCTCCCCCGCGCGCCAGCTCCAGCCGGAGGCGCAGGGGCCATTCCCGCGCTTCTCCGCGCGCAGACCCTAACTGGCCCCGGCTCCTGGGCGTGGGTCAGGGCGGGTGCTGACGGCTCTTCTGTTGAGCTTCGGGCGCCAAAGCCCGGAGGGGGGCGGTAGCAGCGTCAGGTGGCTGCTCTGCGTCCCCGCGCGCCTCCCAGTCAGTCCCTGCTCCGCGCTCAGCCACAGCTGGAGCGGGAGCTGCTCGACACCTTCGCCCTGACAGCCGCGTCTTTGGGAGCAGCTGGGGCTCGGGACCCCGGCGGGAGAAGCTGAGATGTAAGCCCTCCGACTGTCCATTGCTGACTCTGGCATCCTGCTCGCTTCTCACTTCCTCTCCCGCTCCGTGGCCCCATTGGACAGCGAACGTTTGTCTGGATCTCCGGGGAGAGAGGAGCGGCCACCGCGCGCACCGCCCGGCAGAAGTTGGGCTCAGCTGGGCAGCCGCGATCCAGCTGCGCGGGAGGGGTGGGCCAGGGAAGGAGGAGAGGAAGGCTCAGTAAAGAGGTCCGCATCTGGACTGAGAGGGACTGGGAGCGAGGGCTTGAGTTGACACTTCCCGCTCCCCGGCCCCGGGGCGCGGGGCAGAGGGAGAAATGCGGAGTCCGCGCCCGGGCGACCGCCGCCGCGGCAGCAGCCTCAGCAGCAGCTTCAGCATCAGCAACGGCGGGACAGCGACAGCGGGGGCGGCGCAGGCGCACTGTGCCCCGCGGAGCCTGCAGTTCCCGAGCCCCGTGTGCGGCACCGCCACAGACTGGGCAGCGGCGGCCGGGGGAGCGCTACTACCATGAACTGCCTGGTCCTCCTCCCCAGAGCTGCTCATCCGGGTCCGGCTGGAGACACAGTCAGGGGACCCCGTCGCCGCCGCCGCGCCCCCACTTCTTTCGGCTCGATCTTCTTCTCCACCTTTTCCTCCTGTTCCTCCACCTTCTCTTCCTGCATCCCCCCCTCCCCCGCCGCGGATCCTGGCCGCCGCTCTCCAGACCCAGGATGCCGGGGGGCAAGAGAGGGCTGGTGGCACCGCAGAACACATTTTTGGAGAACATCGTCAGGCGCTCCAGCGGTAAGAAGAGTTGCAGTTCAGAACACCCCCACCTCCATCCTGCCCACGGGCGCCCCCCATCCTCCCCATCCCATCCCTCTCCTAAGGCGGAGAGGGATACAGACAGCTCTACCTGGTGGCTTCAGTTACTAGTTGGACCTGATTTGGGGTGGGGAGCAGAATAAGGTGGTGGAGGAAAGTTAGTTGCATCCCCTCTCCAAGACATACTCATCTCCCGCCCACCTGTCCAGAGCCCAGAACGGGGGGAAGGGAAGAGAGAGCTGGTAGGGTGTAGGTTCAACTGGAGAATAAAGTTGAGTTTTGCTTTGATGAGGGATATATTTCTTGTTCATCCTTTCCCCACATTTTTTCCCCAAGTCCACTTCAGGGACTGATCAAATTCTTAGAGTTAATCTTAGTGGAAGCGTTTCCCTCAAGTTGGGAATGGCTGTGAAAGTGGCTACTTAATAAGATTTAAGTCTCTGGAATGGCTTTTGGGCCCAATGAGCACTGCTGAAAGAAACCTTGTGCAGGGGAAAATAGTCGGAGTTGAACCTAATAGAGTACTTGAAAAATGGGAAGGCAATTACTATGGTTAAGTTCGTGTTTAAATTTTCTTTATTTTTTTTTTCAGTGTGCAGTGGTCTATATTAATCTATATGATATATTTGATTTGACTTAAACAGGAGAAATGTAAAAGGGAGGCAATAGCTACAGTGCTTTTAAAGTAACTGGAGAAAGAATTTTTAGAAATGCCATTCTACTTTGCCACTGATTGTAAGGTTTTCTTGCCTTAAAGTGTCTTTAAAAATGCCATGCATTTATAAATTCATTTCCTCCAAGATATTCTGAATTGGGATCATTATATAGTTCACATTTTAAGACCTTCTAAACTTTGCATGTTACTGAAATCTCCATCTTTCATGTCTTTTTAATTCTTTTATATATTTTCCAATTTTAAAGCAAGATATGAAGTATCCTTTAAAGTTTTTTCCTTTAGAGGCCTGTTATTTTATTTTGAGATCTCTTATTTGGAGACTTATGAAAAAGATATTTCTGCATATTGATGACAGTAGAACAATGGAAATACTCTATGCAGTTCCATAATTCATTGTTTACTCATTCATTGAAACAATATTTATTTGGATGCCATATACAACAGACACTCTCTGGGGTCCTTTGGATAAAAGAAATGGTGAAAACACTTCTGTTCTCAAGAAGCTCTCTGCCTAGTGGGTAAGAGAGGGTCACACTAAAAAAAAATAGTTATGCTTTCCCTGAATTGGTTGACTAGATTATACTAATTCTTAGATTAGGATCTCTTCTAAAACTAGGCTTGCAGATATTTCCCCTGATTTGGGGACTATCTATATTTAAGTGTCCCAAGGTAATTTTCATAAATCTCTGCTGTGGTATTTGGTTTTAATTAGAAGCTTGTGACTTTATTTCTTCCACTTTGGTCAACACCTGATATTTTACAAGTCTAGAGCAGACTTTTTGGTTGAAAAAGTAGCTAATAGTCTCAGTCTAATTAAAAAAATCTATAGTATTTTTAACCATTCCAGTGTGATTTCAAATGTATTTTTTATTTTTTATGATAATACAAAATACAAATTCATAACGGTAGGCAATTTCTGTGTTTATACATTACCCTTATGTATATTAAGCAAAGACTTAGAGTACAACGGGATGTTACTATTAAAACAACCCATCTGGGAAATTTAAAGGTTATTGGGATTAACTATTTAAGATACATACATTTTATTTGAGCTTTCTTATCCTCTTGGGTTATTTCAACTCCATGCAATTTGGTCTGTGAGAGGACTTTTCAGAGAAGGCCTTAAAAAATAAAACCTACAGGCTCTGTTCCTCTGCGCGATAACCAGAAAGAAGATGAGAATTCCTTGACTGAAGTTGACTAATACAGCATCTTTGGTTGAAACTTCTTCTACAGATTGGAACTATGAGCCAGTTTTTAGAATATCTCTTATTGCAAATATACAAGAGATTAAGACTTTACCTTAATATGGCTTAGAGATATCTGCTTCTGCTGCTACTATTTTACAGTTACCATCCAAATTAATGAATGTTTTATCTTTTTGACACCTCCCCTATATAATTGCTTCATTGGTTTAATGCTTCTTTCCATAAATAACAACACCAAGTGCAAATGGAAATTGATCTGTTTTGGCATTTAAAATATCACTTCTCATTGCTTATGGCTAACTTTTAATACCACTACTCAATACCTCTGAGCTTTGTTTGAAATGCGTTGGACATGTAAGCTAGGTATATGCGCATGTGTAGGTAGTAAAAACTAGAAAGTCTCAGTACTACTTTTACAGGAAGAACCCCAGAAATTGAGAATTACAGTGTTAAATTGGTCTGCACATTCATGTGGGAGTATCCCACAGTTGTTGCCATTTCTATATGATTTGGCAGAGAAATAGAAAGATTCATTCTGAGAAATTGTTTAATTGAGACTAACAGAGAAAATTCCCTTCAGGATTCTCACAGATGGATGAGGTTTGTCACACTGAAGATTTCATTATTCACTAACTTAACCACGTTGAAAGTGAAGTGTTGGCAGAGCTTTAGTGGAAAAGAAAGAAATTGAAGAAAGATAGGCTGGGGTTGCCTATTTACTTTTACCCCATGCAATGCTTCTCTTTCTGATACAACATCATTTTCTTCATATGAAAAGATCAGATCTTTTAATGAGTGTCGGATGATATAGAAATTATACAGAGAGACGTACGGAGATAAACAGAAAACCATTCACCCAGACACAAAGATGGAGGTACCGGAAAAACCCCTCTCTCTCTCTCTCACACACACACACACACACACATACAAAGAGCAAATGAGAGATGTGGAAAGTAACAGAGATACAGAAACAGAGATACAGAAGTCGGGGGGGAATATCAGATTTGGAAAAGTATTAGACACAAAGAAAAAACATCAGGCACTTATTTGTCCATGGACATCACTAATGAACTGAAATCTCAGCCAATTAGACATCCATCAGAGAACTTCTTGATGACATGGAACAAAAGAGCATGAAATGTGGTCTATTTGGATGTAGCTTTTAAATTGGAGCACTTCCTAATAAAGTTCCAAACTCTTCAGTTGCAATTTCCCAGACGAACAGCGCTGTATTCTGTGCCCTACAGTAGTACTAGCTCCTGTTTGCAGTTTCTTTACACCTCTTGAGATTGGATTTTTATTTTCCTTATTTGGTTGACTCAGTCTGTTATGGGGAAGCATTTCAAATTGTTACCAGTGATTCAAAGTCTGTAAAATAAAATAATGAGGGCTATTGAGTAGGATGAATACAAACATACTTTATGGCCAAATCCCAAAATAGTACAAGTAGGGAATTCCTCTTTTTAGTGTTAAGATAAAAGACAAGATCAGTTTTAGATAAATAAAAGGAATTACAATAATTCTTAACATGTGATTCTAGTGGATATCGTCTAAGAAGTTGTAAAGATCAAAAGTATAAGTGTAATAGCAAGGTTTAGATACATTTTTGGCCAGGAGGTTCAAAATGAGTTGCCAGGAACAGAAAGTTTGGGAACTAGTTCATCACCTCCGTGAAAGGTCTCATAGAAGGCCTCAGCCCGAAGTGCTTATTGACTGAACCCACATCTGGCACATTATTAGGCTATCTTCCCTTATTTAAATTTCAATTATTTATGAAAACTGTTCATCAGTGTACATTGGGCTGTAGGGAGCAGTAAACCTGTGGGTAGAGGGTAAATAACGGAAAGAAATCAAGTATTTAAGAGTTATAGGTGAAATTTTAGACTCAAACAAAACAAAACACAACATTTCCAAGGCCTTCAACCTGACTATGTCCTGGGGCAGCATGTTTTATTTGTATGTTGTCTTTGATTCCTTAACAAATAGGCAGAAATGATTAGTGTCCATGACAGTGAACTAGGTTGCTATTTTTGAAATATTATACATACCAAATTTAGTATCTTTTTATTAGAATTTGATTATTGTTCTTTAATATTCTAAACATTATGAAAAACTAGAAATGTTTTTCTCTTTAGAGGAAAAAAAGGGGCTCAGGAAAGAAGAAAACAGAAAAGGTAGTATTTTATCAACCACTTATCCTCCAAGAGAAGTTCAATATACTCGATTTTCCATTATGGCTTGAGATATTTATGTTGTACAAGCACTTTCTTGATTCAGTCACCTTTTACAGAAAATCCAAAATTATTTTTTTTGCTATAATTAACATTTGTAAAAACTGAGATCTTAAAAGGGAACCTATAGGAGAAGAAATAGAGAACTAATGTTTTAAAAATAAAACAAAAAAGGTATCATACCTTTTTAGTAGTATCCAAGGTAAAAAATGGTGAAAACATGATTTTTTTTGATATTATGTTCATGATATTTTTTCTTGAAAGATTTCCTTTAACATCTAAACCACTATTCAGGAAATAGTGACAGAATTGCATAGTGTCTGAAACATTGATTAACCCAGGTCTTACCATGTATCATTTTTACTTTTAATACATTGTAGAGGTTGAAATTATACTGACCACTCCCTGAATTGTATTTATAAATAAACCAGCAGATTATCTCTGTCTCTAGAGCCCACACTGTGTTATGTAACGAATAGCAATGCTTTACTGACCAGAACGCTGCTTATCCCAGTTCACTCTTGTCTTCACCAGAAATTGCCCTCTTTGTCTATCTTTTGCTTGATTCCAGGAGCAGGGGTGTTAAGAACTCCATGTCCCCAGTCATCCTTTGCCCTACTGAAAGAACCATGTAAGACACTGTAGTTTTTAATAGAAGAAAGCAACTATGAATATTTTCATTGACAACGACTGAGTAGACTTCCAACAAGGAATCCTTTAGTTTAGTTAGTATTTGTCTTTTACTTCCATTGTTGGTGATGGCTGTTTGCTAGCACGGAGGAACAATGCTTCTATGTTCTCCAGTGTCTGGCCTAGGAAAAGGTCTTGTTCTCCAAAGCTCTGTAGATAGTATTTACCACAAGA